CGCCCCCTCTTCCCCTTCCTCCCCCGCGCCGCGTTCCGTGCCTCGGCACGCGTTGGAGGAGACAACACATTGCCCGGAATGGTTCTGACACGCTGCGAGAGGCGCTTGCACGGCCCGGGCGAGCAGGCGCTTTTAGCCGAGTTAGGCGTCCGTGGCGCTGCGTGGCGTGGCGTGGCGGCGGCAGAGAGTGGCCCGCCCCGCCAACAAAACTTGGACACGGAGCAACAAACGGACCCGCACCGGGGGACCAGGGCGGCGATGACACAATTATTGCCCGCACTTCCGGCCGATAATTCCGCGGCCTCCAACGGCCAAGGGACTTTCCTTATAGCGGAGTGTCTCCCTCTCACCCACTCCCTGCATCCCTGCTGTTCTCCTCTTCGCATTCTGCGAACCCTTAGACAGTTGGAGGAAGCCCGTTTGAGGCCCTGAAGCGTCTCTGGGAAGAGCCGCCCCGCCACAGAGGGCAGCAGAGAGCAGTTTGGCGGCGGCGGTGGTGGTCGCCGGACGGGGTGCCCGCCCCGCAACCCCGCTCCAACCCCGTTCCAGGCTTGCTCCTGGCTTGCTCCAGAGTCGCTCCAGCCTCGCTCCAGCCTCGCTCCAGCCTCCCTCCAGCTTCGCTCCAGCCTCGCTCCAGCCTCGCTCCAGCCTCGCTCCAGCCTCGCTCTAGCCACGCTCCAGCCTTGTTTCGGCCCCGCTCCAGCCTCGTTTCGGCCCCGCTCCAGCTTAGTTTCGGCCCCGCTCCAGCCTCGCTCCGGCCCCGCTCCAGCCTCGCTCCTGCCTCGCTCCTGCCTCGCTCCTGCCTCGTTCCAGCCTCGCTCCAGTCTCGCTCCTGCCTCGCTCCTGCCTCGCTCCTGCCCCACTCCAGCCCGGCCCCAGCCTGCCAATAGCGGTGCGCGCGGCTCTCCAGTTGGAGATCCTTCGAGAGGGCCTTCTCCAGAGGCATTTCCAGAGCATCGACAGGCGGTCGGGGCTCGGCCCGGGGCCCGGCCGGCCGCACACTCCCCTTTTAGCCCTTCAATCAGGCGCGGGGGGCGCGGCGTAGCGCGGCGTGGGAGAGAAGTGGTCGCTATCGGGAGTCCCGCAGAGTGGACGCGGGGCGGGGCGGGGCGGGGCGCGGCGGGGCGTGGTCGCATTACGTCCGTCCGAGCAGCGCTCTATTCCTGGTCATATGAACCAGCGGGCCGTGCGCGCCGCGGCCCCGGCTATGGGCCATTCTGCACGAGCGCACCTGCAGAGCGAGCGAGAGCGAGCGAGAGCGCCGCGAGCAGCGCAAGCCTTTGAGCAGCAGCCGAAAAAGGGGGGGGGGGAGTTTCTTTGCCAAAAATATTAAAATGGGATGGCAAGTTTGCTGCTTCGCCCCGCGCGCGCGCTCGCTGCTGCTGCTGCCGGTGGCCGAGTTTCCACCCCAAAACCTCGTCCAAAGTGAGGGTGTGAGTGTGTACATGTCTGTGCTGTGCTTCAGAGTGAGAGAGTCAGTGGGTGTGAGTGAGGAGAGGGAAGAGAGAGCAAGAGAGAGAGAGAGTGTGATGTGTATATTTTAACACAGAAAATAAGGTTGCCCCCCTCCCTCTTGCTCGCTCCTCCAACTCGCTCGCTCTCTCGCTCTGTCCCTAATGAAGGCTGTCCCCACAAGGCGGGTGTATACATAGGCAATCTCCCGGCCCGGGCGCGCGCACACACACACTCACACACAACGCGGTGTACGGCCGTGTGACGAGGCGCCCCTAGCCGTGCTGCACCTGGGCGGCACGGCCCACGGCCCGGCGCGACTCTCGGCACATCCTCCCTCCTCCTCCTTCTCCCCCCGGCCTCCTCCGGTCGGTCACGCGGCATCCTCTAGTGAGGCCACTAACGAGTCTGTCTCCGGGCTGTGCCGGCTGGCGCGCAGAGGCTGAGCTCGGCTTGGCTAAGCTCGCTCCCTTTCGTACTACCGCCTCAGCTATACCCTCTGTTCTTCTGTGCATCTGCTCTTGCCCTGTTTCTCCACATTCTTCACGTTCTTTCCAACTTCTGCTTTCACAGCAAAAAAATTTCATAGAGAAAACAAAATGCTACAAAAAATTCTCAAAACATACAAATTAAAGTCGTAAACTTTACTTTTGAAATTATGAAGGGTGAACCATGGAGACCCATTAAGGGGGTGGGTTGCCCACTCGCTTTGGGGCCAGAAGGCGCCGTAGTGAACGACAATAGGCAAACTCGCTCGCACGCTTGCATGCGGTAAAGCATAGCCGCAGAGCGATAGGGGTCTCGGTGGGTCACCTTGCCAACATGTCGACGCCTTTTTCTTCGCGACGAACAAAGTATTGGTTGTAGTTAGTAAACTTACCATTTGGTAAACCCAGTTTTAACAAAGTTTATTAATTAAAGCAGTATTGAAGTGACATGCTCCAAACAGACTGAGATTTCAGACTACAGCGCACGTAAGGTCGATATCTTTTAATTGTTTCTAAAAGTTACATTCCGAAGCAGCTCAGGCATTACTGCATTACTTACGTAATCAATTCAAAATAATAGACCTATTTAGAGATTACATCTTTCCAGCACCACACGAAAATGGATTTCACTTGAGGAGCTGTTGGAGCGGCACGGTGCCCGTGCATTATACAGTCCCCATTGAGTCCGCGCCAGTGCGCAGAGAGGGGGGCGGGAGGGAGATAGAGTGGAGAGAGAGGAAGAGAGAGGGAGAGAGAGGGAGAGAGAGGGAGAGAGAGGGAGAGAGAGGGAGAGAGAGGGAGAGAGAAGGAGAGGGGGAGAGGAGAGAGGGAGATAGAAAGCGAGAGAGGGAGAAAGGGAGAGAGGGATGGAGAGAGGGATAGAGAAAGGGATAGAGAGAGGGAGAGAGGGAGAGAGAGAGGGAGAGAGAGAGGGAGAGAGAGAGGGAGAGAGAGAGA